AGGTGGTGCATCAGCCAGTCATCTCAGTCAGTCGACCCGTGGCATCTGGGTCTGCCCCGTGACCTCCTGCCAGCGGGCGTTCGACACTTCACGTGGCCTCAAGGTGCACATGGCCTGGCACAAGCGTCGTGGTGACGTCACCGCCACTTAGTGGCGAATGGCGGCTGTTGTTGTTGTTGTGTGTGTGTACGTGTGTACGTGTGTGTGCGTGTGTACGTGTGTGTGCGTGTGTACGTGTGTGTGTGCGTGTGCGTGTGTGTGTGTGTACGTGTGTGTGCGTGTGTACGTGTGTGTGTGTGTGTGCGTGTGTGTGTGTGCGTGTGTGTGTGCCGGACGGGCAACTCTGTCGTGGACAGCGCTGTGGGGGGAGATCCAATTTTGATTGGCTCCTCCCCTCATGGCATATGTGTCCACCACAGGGGCTAAACGGGGGCTCTGGACGGGTGCGAGGGGCTGGTAACCCCTCCACCTTCAATTAATTACCACGAAACTACGAATTAAACTGAAATATGTAACAACTAAGCTTGTGCCGGAGGCCCCGGGAGGCCAGGCGTCTATGACGTCTCCTGGCCAAACCCCAATTGGCGGAGCCAGGAGATTGAATACCTACCCTCGGGGCTACTCCAGAAACAACGAAAAGCCACTACGGTTGGCCACGTGGAATGTTCGAACGCTCACTGCAGAGGAGAGGCTGCCACTCCTCTGTCGGGAGCTGGATCGGTACCGCCTGGATCTATGCGGCATTCAGGAGGTCCGGTGGACCGGCTCTGGCTCCTGCCACCATGAGGGGTGGACAGTCCTCTACTCGGGGCAGCAGACTGCCAAACAACAGGGTGTGGGTCTTCTTTTGAACAAAAGAATGAAGGGGGCGTGGGAGCGTGGCGGTGAGGTGTGCGAAGCTGTAAGCCCCAGGCTACTTTGGGCTCGCCTTCCCATCAACCGGAGGCGAGGAATGGTGGTCGTGGTTACTTATGCCCCCACCGAAGATGAACATCCGTGGAGGGATGCAGGCAAAGCCGATGAGTCAGATGCCTTCTATGACCTCCTGTCACAGGTGCTGGCTAAAGTGGCCCCTCGGGATAGAGTCATCATGTTGGGTGACTTCAATGCCCGAGTTGGTCATGATACTGGCACCTGGTCTGGAGTGATTGGAGGGCATGGGCCAGATCAGCTCAATAACAACGGTAGGAGGCTGCTAGATTTTTGTGCAGCCCATGGGCTTGTAATTACCAACACGCTGTTCCGGCATCGGCGCATCCACACAACATCATGGATGCATGCCGGGTCCAAGCAAGAACATCTGCTGGACTACATAGTGACGGACCAGCGAATGCGAGCCCATGTCCTTGACACCAGGACCTACCGTGGAGCTGATCTGCCCTCTGACCATCGACTAGTCATCTGTAAGATGCGCCTGCCATTCTTCCACTCCGGTGGTGGGTGTACACCCAGGACCCCATTCCAACCTAAAGTGGCCTGGTCTCAGTTATCTGATGAAAGTTGCAAGCGAGAATTTCATCATCGCTTGCGGCTGGGATTGGTATCGTCCCCGACTCCTCCTGATGTCGAGGGTAAATGGGCGAGGTTTAGGACTGTGACTCATGCAGCTGCAATGGCTGCTTTGGGTACGCAGTCCAGACCTCCCCAGACACCCTGGATGACAGAGGAGTTGTTCACGATGGTTGAGAAAAAGCGACAGGCCCACTGTCATCGGCTACAGAATCCCACGTCAGAGAATGAGGAGGCTTACCGCAGCCTTCGCTCGGAGGTTCGGAGAGCCGTGAGGCGCTGCAAGGATGGGTGGTGGTCGCGGGTTGCTGAGGAGATGGAGTCTGCCTCAGTGGCCCGTGATCACAAATCTCTATTTAACTCCATCAAAAAAGTAACCTGCAGCGCCACACCTATTACCATCATTAGGGGAAAAAACGGTGATCCAATTTCCGACCCCCAGGAACAGGTTCGCAGATTTGCTGAGCATTTCTGTGAGGTCCTGGGGGAGGGAAAATCCCTCAGCCAGGAAAACATCGTGGCACAAAGTGAGGATGACCCTGCTGAGGCTGCGGTGCCTCAAATATTGGATGAAGTCACCCCCTGTGAGTGGCTGGCTGAGGTGCCATCTGCTGAGGAAGTATTGAAGGCGATCCGGAGTCTGAGACCAGGAAAGGCAGCGGGCAGAGATGATCTCCCAAGCGAAATGCTGAGGGAGGGTGGCGTTTGTGCACAGACTGCCCTATATGACATCATAACAACAGTCTGGACCACTGGACGGGTTCCGCAGGATTGGAAGGATGCCCTGGTGGTCCCCCTTTTTAAGAAGGGGGACCGCACAGACTGTAACAACTACAGGGGCATCTCACTCCTCAGTGTGCCGGGAAAGGTCCTGGCAAGGATTATTCAGCATCGCCTTGCCAGGCACGCTGAGGAGAGGCTTGCGGAGCCCCAATGTGGTTTCAGGAAAGGGCGGTCCTGCACAGATGCCATATTTTCTGTCCGTCTGCTACAGCAGAGGTGTAGGGAATTCCAACAAGACCTACATCTCTGCTTTATTGACCTGGTCAAGGCCTATGATACCATCAGTAGGCCTGGGCTCTGGGTCGTTCTTCGTGCTTTTGGAGTACCTGACCCTCTGCTCACGATCATTAAGGACCTTCATGATGGTGAGCGGGCCCGGGTAAAACTACGTGGCCGGGAGTCAGAGCCATTCCCTGTACACCTTGGGGTGCGACAGGGATGTCCTCTGGCTCCCACATTATTTAACATCTATTTTGACCACGTAGTTCGTGAAGCCTTCAATAGCTGTACCGGGGGAATCTCCATATGGTACAGATATAATGGGAGGCTAATCGATGCCCGGGTGCGGTCAAGGGATGGCTCCCTATTGCTCAACCACGTTATGTATGCTGATGACTTGGTAATAGCTGCTCAGTCAGAGGAGGAGTTGGAGACGCTGCTGCTGAGACTGGAGCGTGCCACTAAGAGGTGGGGCCTTACCATCAGCCCCACCAAAACTAAGCACCTGCCTGGGTATTTTGTACCATCGGACACTCCACCTCCACAACTCCCAATCGGTGATGGGGCAGTTGTGGAGAGAGTGGAGAGTTTCCCATACCTGGGCAGTGTGCTTATGACTGGCTCCAGTTTAACAGCAGAGGTCTCACTCCGAATCAGTCGAGCGGCAATATCTTTTCATCGGTTGCGTAACGCTGTGTGGAAGCTACCTGGTCTGTCGCTCCGCACTAAGCTTCAGGTCTTCTCGGCCACGGTCATTCCCTCCCTTCTCTACGCTTGCGAAACGTGGACCCCCCTAATGGAACATCTTCGCCGGTTAGAAACATTTAGGCTGGCCTGCCTACGATCCATCCTGGGTTTAACCAGACTGGATTGTGTGAGGAGCTCACAAATCCTTGAAAGATCTGGGCAGGGTCCCATCGGTGAGCTCCTCCGGCAGGCAAGGCTGCGATGGCTGGGTCATGTAGCCCGCAT